AAAAAAAAAAAAAGATTGGAACCCAGGGCCAGCCTGAAAGTTACTGGTCCAAGTGACTCTACCTACAGTCCACTGGCCTCCAAGATCAGCCAGTACACTTTGTCTACCAGTCATTCAACAAGCATCTACTAGGTAGCCACTGTGAATCTAGAAAGCGGGACACCACAGCCTCTCACACTGCAAAAACAGACAACAGCAGAGCCGGCAAGATGGCTCAGCAGGTCAAAGTGCTTGCTTGGCGCACCAATCTGACGACCTGAGTCGGACCCCATGGTGGAAGGAGAGAACAGACTCCTGCAAACTGTCCTCTGACCACATCAGCTCCATGGCATGCATGAGCCTTGCACAGTCTCACATATACAACACATACATGACACACACACAAATCATAACAAGTAAGATAAATGTATGAAACATTAGAAGCAGTTAGGAGAAAGCCAGGAGGCAGGAGGTTATCTCTGAACCACCCCATGTGCACAAGTGTGCACACATATACACACATGAACATACAAAAAATAATGTAAAAGTAATTGTTTAAATAAATAAATGCAGAAGATTGGAGTGCACTAACAGTGTGCTTAAAGAGCAGGATAAAGAAGATATTTAAGAACGCCCAAGACTCAGAACCTGACACTTGGGCTGGAACTGGGACCAGTTAGTTATCCAATACCAAATGGTCAGCCCTGAAACATACATACGAGTAACATTATACAGACTGAGCTGGTTAGATTTAGGAATATACATGTATATGCATATACATATATGAAAATAATAATGAAAAAAGAGGCCATGAATTTGAAAGAGAGCAAGGAGGGTATATGGAGTGTTTGGAGGGAGGAAAGGGAGGGAGAAATGTTGCAGTTAAACTATACTCTCAAAAACAGAAAAAAAGAAAGAATGCAACCTACCTCTAGGTGAAGACATACTCTTGTCTCCTCCCTCAAGGGTTAATCTGTACACCCATTTGTCTCCTCCCTCAAGGGTTAATCTGTACACCAATTACACACTACCCAGTTGTGCAACTATAGAAGGTGTGAATGGAAGACTGCCACACATGGGTCCTCTGAATTCGTGTAGTGTTTGATTAAATTAGTTGTGAGAGTTTTAAGGTACAGCTTTAGTGTTACTATAACTTTATAAAATAAAATTTTATCAAAACTATATATATATATATATATATATATATATAGTTACAATATACTGCTTTTGCCCTTGGTAACTGCCAACATAAAATCTGGATCCAGTGACCGAATGTGTACAAATGCATTTCCTGTAAATGCTGGAGTTTGAGGTGTCTGCTTGGCCACTGTACAAAGTAACGAAGTGGTGAAATTAAAAAGTATGCCTATGACTCAGAATACATTACAACTTGTACTGTATGTTCACAGCATGAATACCATGATAACCCCATGGTTTAACAAAAAATAGAGTTCCCTTCTACAGCAGACATAAAAGCAAGATGACTAAGTTGATGTAAATATAGCATGTGTGTCTATAAAGGGTTAATCAGGTTCATTGATTTTGGAAGATCTGACTGAATACCCCTGGGTGTTTAGACTTTGGGAATGCATACAGTTAGCTGATCAGAAGTCTTCACTCAATATAGTAAATAAATGCTGCTGTTCTTAGTCACCACACCCAGATCTGTTCATTTATTTATTTTTTAGCGGTAGTGGAGACTGAACTCAGGGCCTCACATTTGTATATTCAGCCACTGACCAGCCTTAACTACATAGTAACACTCAAAATAAAGACAGAGAGAGAGAGAGAGAGAGAGAAGGTGAAGATAGATACTGCCTAGACATAGAATCAGACACACAAAAGAAAGACTGTAAACATATAAACAAGAGGGAGAAGCAGAGATCTCCTCAGTGATGCTCATGCCAACCAAAGAACACTTAAGGACCTGCAGCCACCAGAAGGTGAATGGGTAACAAAGCCCAGCTGATGGTCTGGACATCAGCCTTCCAGCTTCTAGAAACACAAATTTCTATTAAATTACCCAAGTCACAGGGCTTTGTTACAACAGCCCTGGGAAATGAACTTGCTAGCCAATGTACTTCATAACTACAAACTGATTTTTGAATTTCAACTTATATAATCTTACAAATAAGAATTTCCCTTTAATGTATTTGGCTAAACTGGGTCATTTCGTTTAATTAAAAAAAAATATTTTGAGGCAGGATTTCATGTAATCCAGACTGGTCTTGAATGAACTATAGTTGAGGGTGACCTTGAGCTCTGATCTTCCTGCCATCATCTCCCAAACCCTGAGGTTATAGAAGCATGGTGTCACACCTCAAGTTCATGGGTGCTGGAGATCCAAACCCAGGATCTTCAGGCATGCAAGGTAATCATTCTAGCACCTGAGCTATATACCCTTAATTAAAAATATATTGATATAACAGAAATTTGTCCTCTTTTTAATTTATATTTGTTATTTATCTTTATATTTAAAGCCGGGCAGTGGTGGCACACACCTTTAATCCCAGCAGAGCCAGGGAGGCAGAGCCAGGCGGATCTCTGTGAGTTCGAGGCCAGCCTGGACTACCAAGTGAGTCCCAGGAAATGCACAAAGCTACACAGAGAAACCCTGTCTCAAAAAAACCAATAAAATAAAATAAAATAAATAAATCTTTATATTTAAAAGTGATCAAAACTTCTAACATAGTCTTAAAGAAACAAATCATTGTATTTTTTCTTCTCATAGATAAAAATTTACCTCAGTTTTTCCAAGGCACTTTCTCGTTCAATTCGAAGTTTAGCTAACGATGTGTTCTCAGCTTTAAATTTTTCTATTTCTGATTCCAGTTCAATAACTTTCTCTCTCAAAACCTGAGATCGAACACTGTCACCTGTAAAACAGATGATAAAGTCTGAACTTTCCAGGAGGCTTACAACCGACCACTTAGCCACTGTGAATACTGTAGCCAAGAAGGTTTGTCACTGAACCTGGTGTCACACTGCATAGGGGACAAAACAGAAGACCTAGCTCTCTAAAAGAACCAAGGTAGACTGCTGCATGCCTGCAATCTTGGCACTCAGGAAGCACAGGCAGGAGGATTACTGTAAGTTCAAAGCCAGCTTGGTCTACATAATGAGTTCCAGATCAACAAAGGACTGATATTAGAGGTTTAAAAAAAAGTTTAAATCACATCTTTTAAAAAACTAGCAAATACAGACTATGAATAATTAACATGAGATCTTAAGGGATAATCAATAACCAAACCAAAATGTAAGCCTTATTATTAAATTATACCAAAGAAACACAGCTGGACAGACATATACCTGTAATCCTAGCACTCTGGAAATGTAAGGAACAGGATTGCAGGTTCAAAGGCGGCTTGGAGTACATTGTGGGAGCCCACAACTGACTCAGTTTCCCAGTTTGAATCTGAAGTCTATTCTGAGTCAATAGAGTTCAAGCTTGTTTGCTCCAAGGCTGTGAGAAAGTTCTGATTAGCCTGCAGAGTCTCCTTGAAGGGTTGTGAGAAAGTCCTGATTAGCCCACAAGAAGGAACACACTATCTAGCTAGATGCAGGCTGCTGATGCCAGCCGGAGGTACATTGAGATAGAAAAAGAAACTGCCTGCTCCTTGACGCAAGCCAGGATAGATAGTGGTTGAATGCCTATGCTGTGCATTGCTTTTTGTTGTTGGTTTGTTTGTTTTTAAGATTTATTTATTATGTATACAGTGTTCTGTTTGCATGTATCCCTGCAGGCCAGAAGAGAGAGCCAGATCTCATTACAGATGGTTGTGAGCCAGCATATGGGTACTGGGAATTGAACTCAGGACCTCTGGAAGAATAGCCAGTGTTCTCAACCTCTGAGCCATCTCTCCAGCCCAGCTGTGCATTGTTCTACCGCCATCCTTCAAAACTGTATATAAGCTGGAAGTGAAATAAACTCAGGGCTGTCCAGCATTGACCAGCAGACTTCTCGACTCTTTTCTGTCTTCTTCATTGTCTCTACAATCTGCACACCTCTACCCAGCTACCCAGCTGACTGTCGGCAGGCCCCACAGTACATAGCAAATCCAGGCCAGCCTGGTCAACTTGTCAACATCCTATCAGACACACACACACAGGGGTGGGGAGGGGTAGATTCAGATTTTTTTCCTCTTATCAAGATTGCTACTTTATAAGTAAATAGCTGAATTTTAAAACTATTTTTATTAAGTTATATGTAGGTATGTTTGTCTACATGTAGATATGTACACATGAGTGTGGTACCCATTGAGGCCAGAGGCATCAGACCCCCTGGAGCTGGAGTTACAGACAGTTGTGAGCCACCTCACGTGGGTGCTGGAAACTTCCTTTGGGCCCTCTGTAAGAACATCAGTGCTCTCAACTGTGCACCATCTCTCCAGACCCAAACAGTGAATGTTTTACCCTTCAGCTTCAGCAATCACCTCATCACTTAGTCCTACACTCCTGAAGGACACATCTGGTCTATACAAGATAAAAGTCTGTTGCAGACAGAACATTGTAATATATGTCCCTATCATAATAAAAGCACATAGGAAAAGCATCTACAAGGAAACTCCCTCCCCCAAATGGTATGGAATTTACTTTTGGAAATTTTAGTTATAAATGCTTTTACTTTGTTACATTTTCAAGCATTCAAAATTCCTACAAAAAGTATTATTTTTATTTTAAATTGGTTAAATTATAATTTCTGTTTAAAGCATCCAACACTTTTAGCTAGGTATTTAGAGTTTTATGTGTATGTTAGAACAACCTTAAAATTTTACCTTTAAACATAGGGCTGGAAGAGATGACTTAGCTATTACGAGTACTTGCTACTCTTCCAGAGAATCTGAACTTGGTTCCTAGTACCCATTCAGATGGTTCACAACACCCATAGGATCAGCTCAAGGGATCTGATGCCCTCTTCAGGCCTCCTCGGCCACCCAAATATATATGGCAAACACACACATAATTCTTTTTTTAAAGTATCTTAAGTCATGGGAAAGTATCTCTAAGAAGTATGTTTTCATTTCTGTAGAAATAATATAATACATATATACTCATATATACACTTTTCTGTGTGTGGATTGTTTCAGAATGTATAAATGGGATACATGGTAATGTCTGTACCACCATGAAAGGGGATAAAGTCAAATGTAAGGAAAGAAAAAATGAAATTGTACAGCAGTCTCTCTCTCTCTCTCTCTCCTCTCTCTGTCTCTGTCTCTCTCCTGTCTCTGTCTCTGTCTCTCTCTCTCTCTGTCTCTCTCTCTCCGCATACACACTCTCACTCACGTACGTGCTTCACCTTATCAACAACTTGGAATTTCTCAGTTTCAGTTCCTAGCAATCAACAAGCCACAAATATTTCATGGAAAACTCCTGAAATTATTTTTAAATTGCATTCCATTCTGAGTAGCAACACAAGGAAATACCAGTGTCACACTGAAACATCACCCTCTGTCCAGCACATATCCATGCAACTCATAGTTACTTAGTACCCAAATGAGGTTATCAGATCCACTGCTCTGGAACTGCAATGTGTGCATTTGAATAACCAACCCTCCATGGCACCAAAGGACAAGAGTAGTGGTGCTGGCTGTGCCAAAGATAAACCACAGGAAAATCATATGCACATAAAAAAGACAGTGTGGTGGCACATGCCTGTAACATTCTCATGCCTCGACTTACCTGGTGGTTGGTCTTGACTCATGTTTAACTTGGGTTCATTTTCCAAGTGTGAATCTAATTTGGGCTTTGGTTTCAAAGAAGGGAAGAATTTCATCATCAAGTCAGATGGAGGAGGGGGGCTTCTGCTCCTGTCAGACTTGCTGAAGTCTTCTCCCTTCTTGACTGGAGCAACCTTCCTTTTTATTGTTTTGTCGAGAACACATACTTCACTCTTATTGGGGTACTGTGTCTGGGGGGTACCATATATGGCTTCATCTCTGAGAATAACATTATGTTTGTATGAATTCTCCTCAAGGTCTGTCCAAGATCTTTCATCATCAAAGTCAATTTTATTCACATCTTGAGATAAGGGGAATCTTGATGGCTCAGATACTTTATTTTTCAGGCTTTCGACTATGACAGACTCTTCACTGCTATATTCTTTATCAGACAGATCCAGATCAGCATCTCTCCATTTATCTTCTTGAGTCCCGGTGTCCCTAAAAGGTCCTTTAGCACTGCAGACTTGTGGACTATCCTCTTTGTGGCTGAAGACCCTCTCCCCAGCCTCAGTGGATGGTTTTAGGGTAACATCAGGCTGCTCCTCAGAATCAGAGCTACTGGCACTGTTGGCCACGTCATCATCGCTTGCATCCCATCGGCCCTGACTGTCAGCAGGGCTGGTTGGGAAGGCTTTCTTACTGACTTGACAGGACAGTTCCCTCAAACCATCAGGTGAGGACCCTGGACCCAGGGGCAGGAGTATGGCCTCACCCTTTCCCTCACAGGCAACATTCTGGTGGGGAAGCTCACTGCGGTTACTCTGCCCACTGGGATCCATCTGATGGGCCTTCTCCTGCTGCACAGCTTTGACAGGCGTAGAAGACATCCTGTGACCTTTGTAGATCTGCTGATCCCTTTCTAAAATTTTTAATACAAATGAGGAATTGCTAGAAAAAGATATTTCATCAGCAGCCCGTTCCAAAAATAAAAATTCATCTAATTCCAAGTTTTCCTTTTCTTTTTCTCGTTCCCAATTCTCTAATTTTTTCTGAAGAGAAATGTCAAGGGACGATTCTGTCTCTTTCACTGTCTCACTCATCAGGCTCTTAGAAGCCACGCAGTCAGCCGGCTCTGTGGAAAGAGGAAGTCTCTCTCTGGCCCGGGTCTTGTTCCACACCTTGCAACCAGCATCACAGGGCTTTACACACACAGGCACGTTTTCCTTATTATTGGCTTGTACACTTCTTTCTAATTTGATCTGGTGTCTAAACTGCCCATCACATTTCTTCCCCATTTGTACTTTGAGTCCTGGTGGAGAGAGACTTTCCCTCATACTGATCTTGGTTACTTTGGATTTCTGACTGAGTGAGGCAGAGCCAGCCTTGGTTCTAGCTTTACTGTCTTTTTTAACAGTGGGGGTCTCTGCACACAGGTCTTTATTTATAAGAGCAGTTTTCCTCTGCAAGTGTTGTCTGTCTGCTTTACATACTGATTGGTCCTCTGGTGGGCTCTGGCTACTCACTAGTTTACTTTCTTTCCCTTTTTGAAACTTGGATTTAGCATTAGTAAACCTAGCTAAACCTTCTCCTCGTTTTAAAAATGGTTGCTTGGGCTTTGCTTTCATTAGCAATGGTCCTTCTGCTTCCTAAAGTAAAAAGACAAAATCCAGTTAGTGTGCATACAAGGGAGTCAGCTATTTCCAAAGCTGGTCGTCACTGAGAATGGCGACCACTTCATGGAAGCAGCACCGACGCTCGCTCACCCGCAGCCGCTTCTCTTTCAGCTCTTGCTCTTCCAGCCGCATCTGCTCTTCTACGAAGTCCTCGAATGTCTGCTTCTTTTCTCTAATGGCAGCTTTGATAGGCCTAATCATAAAACAAGGGGCGGAACACTCAACTCACAATGCAAGGATTTTATACGCTGTGTAAAATTATTTAAATACCTTAGCCTGCACTGTAAACTAGTATTTTATAAGGACCAGGTACCAGAGTACAGTTTCACAGCAGAGCATGGACTTAGCATGCACAAGACCCAAGTTCAATCCCCGGAACAAGAACAGAGAGCAAGAGCAAAAGCAAGAGCAAGGTCTGATGACACGTCAACAATCCTAGCGCTGGAGATTAAAGCAGGAGTCCACAAGTTCAAGGCCATTCAGCTCCACAGAGTAATCGGGCCAGCCATGGCTACATGCTAAGACCATGTTGCAGAGCATTTTTTGAAGGACATCAAGGACTTCCTTTTAAGCTGAACACAGTGGTACAAACCTGTAATCTTAGCAAGTGTGAGGCCAGTCAGAGCTACACAGTGAGACTGTTTCAAAGCAAAACAGGGTTGGCCAGATGGCAGCAGGGCAGAGTGCCTGCTGCGTGAGCCACGACCTGAGTTCAATCCCCGGAACCTACAGTGGAAGCAGACAACTTATCCTAGGACCTCCTCCACTCATGCACCGTGGCATACACAGGGAGTACAAAGAAATAAAATTTAAACAAAAGACTTCTATTTACCTTCTCCTTTGAAAATCTAATGAAATCTACAACCCTTATCTAACCCCCAAAATACAGAAATATCTAACTCTGAACAGGACCTGGGGGACTAAGGAGCCCTTCTGAACTCCATCCACTGACTGCAAACACTTACTGTATAAAGTAACATATTCATTACTTAACCTTAAACATAGTGTGAGTAACATATTTGTAAATTGAGAAAGGTCCTTAACAATGTAAGTAAAGCCATAATCAGAAGTTATCTGGCCTATATATTATATAATATATATTAGAAATTCAAAGGTGTTTTTTAAAAAGGCCTATTTAAAAGATACTTTTATTTGAAATAACATTTTTAATTCTCTAACTTAAACTAATTATGCAATTTTAATTTATAACTGACACCAAATATGAAATTTCAACATCTGGTTTTCCTTTTCTCCACAATTATATTTAAGATGTATTTTTTAATGGGGGGGCACATCAAGTTCACACTGTATATTCCAGGCTGTCTTCAGATTTTGCTCTGTAGCCTCAGTGCTAGGATTATAGGCTTGAGTCATAATGCCCAGCAAAAAGTTTTGTTTGCTTGTTTGTTTGTTTAAGATTTGTTTATTTATTATGTATACAGTGTTCTGCCTGCATATCTGCCTGCAGACCAGAAGAGGGCACCAGATCTCATTACAGATGGTTGTGAGCCACCATGAGGTTGCTGGGAATTGAACTCAGGACCTCTGGAAGAACAGCCAGTACTCTCAACCTCTGAGCCATCTCTCCAGCCCAGTTTTTTTGTTTTTTGTGTGTTTGTTTGTTTGTTTGTTTGTTTTGTTTTTCGAGACAGGGTTTCTCTGCGTAGCTTTGCGCCTTTCCTGGAACTCACATGGTAGCCCAGGTTCCATTTGTTTGTTTTTAAGTGAGAAAACTACTTGAACTGTCTATTTCCAAACCAGGGTCTCTTGCTTAACAGTATCCAATCAATAGCTTATATCATCAACCTTATGCCTGGAAGCATATTCAAGTGAAAACAAGAAAAGCACAGATCTCTCGAACATACTGCTCAATAAGGAGAAATACCAAGTAGTTCCGTTTCCGGTTACTCTGAGTATGAGTCATACCTTTCTTCAACATTAACCACTTCTGAGGAATCTCCTCTTTTTTGTAAGTTCATATCCTTCCCTTCCTGACTCTTCCCCATCCTCTTTTCCCAACATGGCAAAACACCTTCTCCTAGAATAAGAATTAGGAACAGTTTAGTTCAAAACACGCAGATAAAGGTTTAAGACATCAGACGATCACAAGTTACCACACAGTCCGTAGGCTTTGGGTTTAGCTCAGTGTGGAACACTTGCCCTGTGCACAGGGGCTTCAAGTTTGGTCCCCAGCTCCACAAAACAAAAGCCAAAGAGAGCAGCTGTCAGAAAACTATAGCCAAGTAGGCTGCCCTACATCTGTAACCCAGCACTTGGGAGGCAGAGACAGGAGGATTGCCATAAATTCAAGACCAGCCAGGGTTATACAGCAAGATCCTATCTCAAAAAACAAAAGAAAAAATGTATGCCAAAATATTTAGAAAATTCAAGGATTTTTTAAAATAAGATAAAAAAATATAAAACAATTAAGATACATGACATTCTTCAAAAAGTTGTGTTTTAAAAAGTAGGGATGTTTGCCAGGTAGTAGTGGCACATACCTTTAAACTCAGCACTCAGGAGGCAGAGGAAGGTGGATCTCAGTTCGAGGCCAGCTTGGACTACAGAGTGAGTTCTAGGAGAGCCAGGGCTACTCAGAGAAACCCTATCTTAAAAAACAAGAAACAACAACAAAAAAAAAAGAAAGAAAGAAGGGAAGGGCATTTGACCTTTCCTTATCAATGAGTTACTCTAGGTTGAAAGAGAACTAATTCTAAATGCTACATACAGACACTTTGTATGATGTTGTGTTTTTCTGTAACATAAATTACCAAAAAAACTCATGAAAACATGTTAAATTTTAGAAATGTTGAAAATAACTGTCTCCACAAAAAGTATTAAATAGATGTATTATTTGATGGTTATTCTAATAATGATAATTACAGAACATTCCAAATTTTTCCATGGTGAATTAAAGAAAAAACCACAGTATTATGATGTTCATAATTGCAAAAATGTAAAAAAAAAAAAAAAAAAAAAAAAAAAAAAAAAACAAACAAAAAGCGATTTTTTTTACTTTTTTTTTTTTTTTTTGACTGGACTGAGGAGATGGGTCAATGATTAAAACTCTGGCCATCGGCTGGGCAGTGGTGGTACACACCTTTAATCCTAGCATTTGGGAGACAGAGGCAGGTGGATGAATTGGAGGCCACCCTGGACTACAAAGCAAGTTCCAGGACAGCCAGGACTACAAAGAAATCCTGTCCCAAAAACCAAACGAAAACCAAAGCAAACCTCTGGCCCTGCTAGCATGAGGGCTGGAGTCTGGATCCCCAGGGCCCCACAAGTGATGTGTGGGCATGGTGACATGCCCAACAATTCCAGCCTCGGAAGGCATGCATTCAGGTGGTCCCCAGAGCAGGACTGGCCACACTGGAGAAGCTGAGTTTGACTGCAACTCTGCCCTAATGAATGAGATGGGAGAGTGATGAAGGGTGATTCCCAAATCAACACTGGGCCTCCCTCCGTATGCACGTGCACACACACACATGCATGCACTCCCGCATGCATGTACAGTAAAAGGGGAAAAGAACAAAAAGATTAGCTAGAGGAGTACAGCACAGTGGTAGAGCACTTACCTAGGATGCGTAAGGCTCTAGATCCTATCCCTGGCCTGCCTGCCTCCTCCCCCATCTCTGTCTCTCCGTCTCTCTATCAGGCACGCACACACACAGAAGACAGAAGGTAAGGAAAATCCATCAGAAAAGCCAAGTGAGCTGCAGGAGTCGGTTACCATCGATGAGACCAATTCTCTGGCAGGAATGTGTCTCATTGCTGGGAACACAGAAGTACAGCAAAGACAACCCAAGTATTATGAGTAATAGTTCCCATCACAAACCTGTTTCTCACATGTCACAGCTGACCTGCAGGTTGTCAGCTCTCACCTGCCAAAGCTATCAGAATGATTTTTTTATCAACCCCAAACTCTAAGCTCTCCAATAATAATCCATGCAGAACTTGCTGCCTCCCTCTTTGAAGACCCCATGCTACCTGTGAAGTCTGGAGCAGGCAAGAGTATCAATACTGTTCTCAGATCGTCAAATCCTGGCCCAGCTCAGGTCAGTGACCATGCAGAGGATGCAGGAAAAATACAAAGGATGACCCTTGTCTTCGAAGCCTAATGACTCTATTATGGGACTCACCTGAAGGATGGTCACGATTTTCTTCCTTTAAGTCAGTTATTCTCACATGTGCTTCTGGATATGGGGACTCATCAAACACATCAGAAGCATGTTTTGAAGTTAAGGCAGAATCTTGATGAGTAGCTCTACAGAAATTGCTTTGTTCATTGGATAAAATGTTGGAAGCATGCAGGTTTTCTTGGGTTGGATTTGTTGGATTTGCGAAGCTATGTGATGGCAGGAAGGGAGTGGCTTTCTCTCCCAAGGCTAAACTTCCTGGAGATCTATACTTCTGGCTCTGGTCATCGTCAGGCAGTAGTGTACCTTACAGATGAATCAAGAAAAAAATCAACAAAGCTGAGACCATCCTACAATACTCTGACTTTTATGCAGTAGTGATCACTCACCCCATAAAGTAGTTTCCAAATAATAAAAGCATTTTTCTCCTTATTAGTACATTGTTTAACAAAAGTACAACATTATTTTTACTCAGAGTAAACAAACGTCACATACTTTAAGGTTAGAGAATATTTATACTATACAGTTGCAGTGTGCCTAGCTCAGAAGTTGCCATTCCTAGGCATCTGTGAAACACCATGGCAGCTGTCAACTGTGTCCAGGGACAGGCAGGCACAGGAAGGAGCAAAGCAGTGCAGCGACAACCATCTGGGCTCTCATTAGCTACTGTGACTAGTAACTAGTCTCCTCTCCTTCAGATCAACCCTAAAATTTTGGTATTGTTGGGTAAAGAAATGATGAGTGACTTTGTAGTTTCTAAGTGTATGTTACTTTTGTCTATTTTGTTTAAGTCTCAGCCAGGCTGTATGCCTCTAAACGTCACTTCTCAGAGGATGGACGGCATACCAGATGCTGTCTGCTATACCAGCCCTGAAATCCTGCCGCCTGCCCTGTTCACCTGATTGCCTCACCTAAATCTGGGATAAAGACACATGGAGAAGTGGTTAATAAAAGTCACTGCTGCTGGGGTGCAGCTCAGTGGGCAGTGTTTGCCTAGCATGAATTAGAGTATGTTCAATCCCCAGCGATGCATAAAACCAGACATGCTGGTGTATAACTTTAATCCCAGCACACAAGATGAGGCAGAAGGACCAGAAAGTCAGTCATCCTCAGCTATATACCGAGTTTAACGCCAGCCGGGGATATGTGAGAACCTGTCTCAAAACCAAAGTAATCAGTGCTGCCCATTCTGTGTCTACTTCATCCCCAGCCCACATCTAAAATGAGAAAGTCAGCTTCAACTTTTCATTACCCGACCCACTCCAGCATCTAAATATTTTGGAGTGGCCGATATCCCAGCTAAATCTAATGAGTTCTTTGATAAAATATCCCAGGGTAGCTATTTTCAAAGTATGACCTAAAGATCTTCAAGACCTTTTCAGGAAACCACCAAACTATTTCCATAAATGATCCATTGGTAAAGCAATGGCAAACTAGAAAACTGCTGGAGTCTTAGTTCAAGGAAGGACAGCAGTTTTGTGTTAGCAGTGTTTGCCACCACTGTGCATCACAGTTTACAAATAAAGTTTTACTTAGAAATGCTGCAGTTGCCGGGCAGTGGTGGCACACGCCTTTAATCCTAGCACTCAGAGGCAGAACCAGATGGATCTCTGTGAGGTCGAGGCCAGCCTGGTCTACAGAGTGAGATCCAGGACAGGCATCAAAACTACACAGAGAAACCCTGTCTTGAAAAACAAAAACAAAAAGCAATATAAGAAAAGAAATGCTGCAGTCACGCTTCATAGTGCCCAAAGATGCTCTGCAGGATGCTGAGGGAGCAAGGTCATCAACTGCCTGACCCAGTGCTGGGTCCCCTACAAAGTGGGGACCACTGGTGCAATAGGGGAACGCCTGTTGGGGTTAACTGTTTTCTTATTGAATTTTCAGCCTGCTTCACAGCAGGGAACTGATTCTAGTAACACTGTAAACCTGGTCAAAAGTGCATGCCTGGGGAGGCTATAGGCCTTAGGAAATAAACCCACTTACTACTGTTGTTTTGCTAAACGTCTACTGGAAAAAGGAGAGTCAATTTTCTTCTTCTTCTTCTTCTTCTTCTTCTTCTTCTTCTTCTTCTTCTTCTTCTTCTTCTTCTTCTTCTTCTTCTTCCTTCTTCTTCTCCTTCTCCTTCT